ATGGAAGCACCCCAAAATTTTGGTCGGAGCGGTGTGTTGGAAGACCAATCAAACCCATAAAACATAAAAATATATATTAAAAATATTAAAATAGTAAATATAAATTAAAGAAAGCAGGTAATAATATCAAAAAGTCATGCTAAAGCCTTTTATTCTCAAATCATAGTCATTTTTCTTGATATTTTATTTCATATATAATTACACTTCACAGACTAAAGGTATAAAACATACAAGGAAGATTAAAAGGTATATATATAACTACAAAACAGATCTTACAACATGACAAGAATGGTCAACAAGGAATTAGAAATAATATAATGTTATAGAGCTAAAAACCATTCAGGAGGGAACAGAATAACATAATAACCAATCATAAACTCATCCAGAAGATCATATTAATTAAGTAGATCATTATTAATTAATTACACAGCCATTTAATTAATTACACAGCCATTTTATTAAATACACATCCACTCATCATTAATTTCACAACATGAAGATCATTAATCACACAGATGACATCATTGAAAAACATAGCAGCAGAATATTGATTTCACAACAGTACATCATTAATTCCACAGCTGCACATCATTAATTTCACAGCTGTAAATCATTAATTTCATAGCATGACATCATCATGACATCATTAAATTAGCAGTATGAGGTCATTACCCAGTCAGACCAATCATTCTCATCAGTGAAGCTGTTTACCATCCCACCAAAGATTTTGTCTATAAATAGAGGCCCTCCTGGCCCATGTTTCACTTCCTTCCTCCCCATGTCTGCATCAGAGAAATAAGTAGAGATCTTATTTAGCATTCATCAACCCCCTTACATGCTAGCTACAGAATAGTAATTAGAGATATTACTTAGCTTTCATCAACCCTTATATATCAGATTCAGAATAGTAATAAGAGATATTACAAAAACCCTTACTCCTCACCCTTATATTGAACCCTGTTAAATAATAAGGAAATTATTTAACTCTCCTCAAACTCTCAACAGAAGACATTGAAGAAATAAAGACTCACTTTATTAAAGACCCAGAATTGAACCAGAGAACCCAGAAAGAATAGATTAAACCAGAATAAACCAGAAACCCTCAGATATCTCCTAACTCCAGAAGC